CAGACCGGAGAGGGGCAGGGAGCAAGGAGGCCAGAGGCTGGTGAAGGGGGCTGAGGGCCAGGCCATTTCCACCTGGAGGGGCCTGGGCCTGAGGAACCCAGACCAGGGCCACAGTTAGAGGCAGCTGGCCCTGGGTACCCGTGTGCTGACCACCAGCCTCAGGTATCTCAGATGGCAGGAGCAGAAAGGCTTAGAGATGGACCCCACTGGCTGCACACCACCCAAGTACATCCTGCTAGGGAGCTGGGAATAGCCATTGTGTCCCCTGCAGCCCCAGAACCATGACTAAAAGGTGGGACTCCAGGGAGGAGCAAGGAAGAGGGTCCCTGCAGTGGGGGGGGTGGTCTGGGGGTGGAAGAAGACACACACCAGGAGGTCTGGCCCATTCATGCTTGGCCATTCCTGCAGTGCCTGAAAGTGCCCACCATGAGCAGCTGGAACCTGTGCCCTGAGAACTGCAAGATGCACCAGCACCTCGTGTACCTGTTTGTGATCACAGCCAAGGACCAGTGAGGCAGCATCACCACATCCACACGAGGCTTTTACCATAACCGGTGAGTTCCTGCCAGCCCACCAGGGGCACCCACTCAGGGTTCATCCTCTCCTTGTAGGTCCTCAGCCTGTCAATTCAACCCCAAGCCCACCAGCCTCTGCTTCCTAAGCCATTCCCAGGGGAGCTGCTCCACCAGATCTGACTGCCTTTTACAAAACATTGTGCCCTGCTGCAGGGGAAGGGGAAGCCTTTGCCCCATCTGCTTTTGCCCTGGCGCATGTCACCTGGGGGTCTGGGATGATTCAGCTAGCCTGAACTCAGTGCCTCTGCCCAAAGAAACTGCTCCCAGGACCCCAGTGGCCAAGTCTCCCTCTAGGGAGCTGTGAGCCAGCTCTGGAGAGAGCAGCCTGGGAGTGGCGCCCATGTGCTTCTGACTCATCTTTCAGGGCAGTGTCTCAGGGCCAGGAGAACCCACAGCAGGTGAGGGCCTCTGTGAAGAAAGAGCCTGTGGCAGCGCCCTGAGATGGGTGGGTGGCCCCATCTCCCTTTCCCCTGCCTGCCATTGGGTCTAGCACCACCCATTCCAAAGGGAGTCACCCCATTCCAGGCATGCAGCTGGATGGCCCCTGTGTCGGAGCACACTATGGACTGCATGTGTGGAGAAGCACCTGTACCTTGAGGCTGGGCTGTGAGGAGCACAGTCCTGCATAGGGGCCTGCGGCCTGACCTTACCCTCACTGGAAACCCCCTTCCCTCCTGGGTGCCAGATGGGGTTCTGTGCACTTCCCTGAGGCTCCATGCGGGTCTGCTCATTGGGGAATCTGGAGCTGTACGTGGGGAGGGAGGAGAAGGGACTTCCCAGAGCAGGATGCAGTGCACAGGCTGAGCCCATGTCTCCCTCCCTGGTCCCTCTGCAGCCCCAGAACTGGAACGAGGAGCTGCAGATAGTGAGGAATGTGCCCAACAAGAACCGACCTGAGCAGCTGCTACAAGAAAGAGCCATGTTCAAGGGGCCCAAAGCCCCTGGTGAGTGAGTGACAGCAGCACAGCCTCAGGCCCACCTGCCTCCTGCTGGAAGGTTTTCTTGTGCACAGGAGGGAAGCGAGGGAAGCTGGCACAGTCCCAGCCCTGTCAGGTGCCCTGAAGGCCTTCTAGCCTTCTGCTTCCTGGTAGACCATCCCAGCACCTTTCTTTGGCCTCTTTGAGACTTTGGGTCCCTGGGAGGAGAAGGCTCCACCTGCTATCTGGGCTGAGCGGCCAGAGCCATCCAGCTTCCCACCCTCCACTGAGTGCCATGGGGCCCTTCCCTGAGCACACGGTGCCCAGCATGGCCCTTCTAGGGCAGGGGCTCATTGACATAGCACTTTCAGCTCGTTGGGGTTTAAACGTCATTAATGCTGTTTCTGAGAGAAATGAGGACAAAATAATTGTTTAAAAAAAGTCTCTCCTGAACTTCCTGCCTAGAGGTGATAATGGAAGAAGTAATTTCTTGGGTACTAACTTTACCAGGATGATTCCAAGTGCTTTATAAGCATCATTTCCTATAATCTTCTGGTCGCCTTGTAAATATCAGTACTTTTTGTCATTGTTGTGTAGATGAGAAACAGTCTGAAGTTACCTGCCCAGGTTCGCCAGGCACATGACTTGTGGATCCCAAACCTGCCCCAGCCCTCGCACTCCTTGTTAGCCACTAAGCTCTGCACCTCCTTAAGTGTTTAGTTTTTTCAAAAAATGTCTTTCTTGCCCTTCTCTAAATATAAGGAAACTGAGGCAAGAGTCCCTGGCTCCCAAGGCAGGCCTGGCTGCCTCCCCCATCTTGGTGAGCTGGGCCAGGTGGATGTAGCCTGAGGCTTTTGTGGGTGTGGCCTCTCACCCTCCCAGTCTTGGCCCCTCCCAGGCGCACAGCAAGTTCAGGGTGGCAGCCACATGGGGCGCCATGGTAGTCAGGGGCATCGTCATGGCCATCAGCCCCAGTGAGGAGACCAAGCTGCAGATGTTCATCTGGAGCCACATTGTTTTCAGCCTGGGCTTTGTTGTTAGTGGCCACTACAAGGACTTTGCTGGGGACGTGGCGGCCTCCACAGCATTCACCAGTGACTTGAATGGTGAGCAGTTGCGCAGTGCAGCGGACCTGGAGGTTCTGTACATGCTGGACACGGTGGAGATGGATGACTGCAGCTACTGGGTCAGGTTCCAGTCCTCATCCCTGGCAACCTGGAGTGGGACCAGGAGCAGAGTGTCATCTGTAGCTTCACTGGCCTTGCAAAAACAGTGGTGTGGCCCCCGTGGTGCCTGGAGCTGCTGGAGCACGAGTTAACTGCTCAAGACTTTGTGACACTGTGTACTCAACCACTGCGATGAGGAGGTGGAGCTCTTCTCGGTGAGGGCAAGGGCATCACTGGCAATGACAGGTGCCACTGTGTTCTCTACCTGCTGAGCCCCCTTCCCCTGACCTTAGCTTCCTTACTGTACCCCCCAAGGAGCTGCCAGACGGGTGCTCCCATGCCACCTTCTCCTGCACCTACAGGCACAGCTTCTGTTGCTTGCGCCAGGAGCTCGTGGATGCCTTCGTGGAGCACAGGTGAGGAGCAGCCCTGTGAGGTTGGAGCTGCAGCCGCTGCACCCTGTTGGGGGCACGGGCACCCTGGGTTGTTCTGGGGCTGGATCGTTGAGGAGAGAAGCTCTGCACAGTGAAGCAGGGCTCCTTCTGGCCACACTAACTAGAGCCCCTTCCCCATCCCCCACCCACCCTGCCATCAGGCTTCCAGATGCAGATTGGGAGCTTTGTGTCGGTTGCAAGCTAGTGAGCAGTCAAACCAATGGCCCAGCTGAGTTGTGCTGTTCTCCTTAGGAGCGTTTGGAAGTCGCTGGGTGGTTGTGAAGGTCACAGTCCCCGAGCATTGCTGCTGCTGGTGTTTTGTGCTTAGGAGTTGACCATGTTAAATGTCATACACACAAGTAACTCTCTTTCAGAAGCCAGAGGTATTCCTGTCTCTGTTGAGAGTACTGGCCTGATGGGGACCCCTATCCGTCACCTCCATACTCTAGCTGTCTTCTTCCTTTCTGGGGAGATCTGGCAGCCACCACCTTGTTGCTTGGGTCTGTGAGAGCAAAGCTGAGTTCTGGTCGGCCTTGCAGCAGGAGAAGGAAGCTGACAGCATCCACACCATCTATTAGGCCCAGGTGGGCTGTGCCAGGGCTGGTGGGCTGAACTGCACCTGTGGGCAGCTGATCCTTTCCTGCCTCTGCTCTCTCCCCTGTTTTTGGGTGAGGACAACAAGAAGGAAAGCTTGGAGAACATCAAAGGCCTGGCCCAGGAGGCCGTGGCCCAGCAGGGCACCATGAACAGGATCTACTCATTGGCTGCAGTGCCAGCGTCCTACCCCTCCAGGTGTGTCTGTGGGTGGAACCCGGCCCCCACCCAGCCCGAGTAGATTGAGCCTCACTCACAGCTCATCCCCACAGCCCCTCGGTTCACAGCTCCCAGCATGGCCAGCATCTTAAGCAGCTCCAGGTCATCAGTGACATCCTCCTCATTCCTCTCTGCTGAGGCCCCTCCACAGCTCGCTACTTAGAAGTTGGCCTTTAGTTTTTTAAGATATATAATATGCTGACATGGCTCAAAATTGAAAAGTACACCCAATGGTGAGAAGTTCCTTGTGAATGCTTACAGAAATACTGCAAGCGATCTCTTTCCCTCTCTTTTTTTTCCTTTGCAATTGTGGCATGCCATGGATGAAGGTTATTATTATTTACTTCATTTAACAATATATCTTGGTGACCTTCCATTTCAGTTCCTAAGGAGTGGCTTTATTCTTTCCCCAGCTGCCCCTCGTTCCAGTGCAAAGTGTGCCTTAGGAGTAGGCCCTGAGGACTCCTGCGGTGCTGACACAAGCAGTGCTGCCTTTGGGAGCCCCTAACCTCCCGCCTTGTCTCCCCTCATTGTGGGAAAGGGGTTTGGTCAGCCAGGGGTGTCAGCAGCCCTGCCCCACACCCATTGTCTATACCTAATCTGGTAGTGGGGATGCCACAGAGTGCAGCGATTGGAACTGGGTGTGAGGGTGAGAGGCAGCTGGGCCCTAGGCTGAGTCATGTGCATGGAATCCTGACTGCCAGCAGTTAGGGATCTTTTTGCTTTTGGGAGGGAAGCACTTGTTCCACACGTTTCATTGAATATGGCACAGACCCTGACCTGTCTCAAGTGGGAGTTTAACCAAGCCAGAGGGGAGCCAAGGTCCCTGGCCCAGTCTGTCAACCACCTCCTCTCCTGCCAGAAGACTAGGAGAATCTGATAGCAGAGGTGATGCAGCACCACCAGCTCCAGGAGTCCATTAAAATAGGGATAGTGCATTCTGGGAGGTCGAGGTGGACGGATCATTTGACCTCAAGGGTTGGAGACCAGCCCAGGCAACATGACAAAATCCCATCTGCAAAAAAGTGCAAAAATTAGCCTGGTGTGGTGGTGTGACCTGTAGTTGCAGCTACTTGGCAGTTTGAGATGGGAGGATCACTTGGAGAGGTCCAGGCTGCAGTGAGCCATGATTGTGCCATTGCACTGCAGCCTGAGTGATAGAGGGAATCCCTGTCTCAAAAACAAGAAAACAGAGCTAGGGCTGAGGAGCCTATGGCCACTCAGCCTGAGCCAGCCAGACCAGAGGAACTGAGCTCTCAGTCCTGTGGCTGCCAAGGAACCTCCCTCGAGCTTGCAGGGGTCGAGAGGGAGAGACAGAGGGACAGTCAACAGCCCTGTTATCGGTGATGCAGACTCCAGGAGAAGGGGGCAGGCTTGCAGATCAGAAGAGGAGGCGAGCCCCTCTTCCATGTTCCACCCCTACCATCCTCCTGGGAACTCAGCTTGCCTGCCCTCCTAAAAGATGCTTTTGCACTGATTTAGTGAATATGCAATGCAAAGGCCTAATTGAAGACTCGTGAATGGAGCGTACGGTGTTCAGTTCCTAGCTGAGGCACCCCTTGGGCTCCATCTTTCCCTCAGGTTCCCCATATTTCCCTCAGCCTCCTTCTAGCAGGGGTGTGGAGGGCGTGAGTATTGATCTGTCCTTTGGCATTATGGCTGCTGCTTTTACTGACACAACTCCCAGGCCCAACCTGGCTTAAAGTCTTAAGTCGTAAGCCAAAAAAGATGGGGAGCCAGGGCTCTGTGGCAGGGCTGGGGGTTGGGGTGCACTTTCGTTTTGTGGCAGGATGAAGTCTGCAGTGGTTTTATTAATCATGATTGGCCTGGCAGTAGCTGTAGGCCAAGGGGGATGGGTTTGTCAGTGGTGGTCCCCTAGATATCCCTGTGCCCAGCCCTGGCCTGTTTGCCCTCATGCCCAACAAGAGGTGCTGCCACAGGTTCTGACTGCCCCCCCCCACTCCCTGCACCCCAGATGGACATAACCTTGGGGTCTACAGTCTGAATATATCATTCTCCCCATTTTAACTTGAGCTGCCTGACACAGGGAGGGTGGGGTGAGTAAGGGACCTGGGGAACCAGGGCCCAATCATGGATCCTGGGGAAAGGTTACAGACACAAGAGGGATTGCCACCTCTCTGTGGAGCCCTGCTCCTGGCCACACAGCACCTTCTGCAGAGACTAGCTCTGTGGGTGGCAGGGAACCCCACAGGTCATGGCTGCACCCTCTCTCCATCTGTCTGTGCCTGCTATTGGAGCCTGGACTGGGGGAAGAGATTACTACTCTGTGAGCCTGAGGGAGCCACATTAGGCTGCGACCTCTGCCCGGGGCTTTGCAGAGAGCTGCTTATGGGTATAGTGTCACCAGACACCTTGTTTCAGAGGGGGTGGGCATAGCTGGCAAGTGGAGCACCTCCACAGCTGCTGAGGAACTTTTTCTCATTTTTAAACCATCGTGTCTTCATTTCACATTGAAATAAAGTGAGGTTTTGGAACCTGCTGCCCCAGTCTCATTGGACTGCGAGGGCTGTTGTCAGGTTACTAGGAGAGGAATTTGTATAAATTAGGTCAAATTGAAGGTTATGCTTGTACTGTCACCTGAGTGGGAGGTAAGAGGGTGGAGTCACAGGCATTCAGTTGGGGTTTACCTGGCCGTCACTAGACTCATGGGATTGTGGCACAGGTGAACATCCCATCATTGGTGACAAGAAAAAAGGCTGGAGTGAAGGCCAAGTGGGGGAGGGGTGCTAGGCTGTGGGGCCAGGCCCTGGGCATGCTGGACCTTCTAGGTCACTGAACGTCTGACTGGGCATGTGCCCCTGTCCCTTCAGTTGAGGTAGGATTGGCAGCACTCCCCAGATAGCATGAGTGCCAGGAGAGTGGAGGAGGACCTGACGTTTGCCATCCTGGGGTAGGGTTTAGAGCTCACTAGATGCCTGTAGAGAGCTAATGAGATAGGAAGAAGTCAGCCCACCATAATGGACCTGAGGGACAGAGCCTGCGAAGTAAGAAGCGGGTGTGTGTGGGTGGCCCGTCTACAAGAGGGTAAATTAAAGGCTCATTGCAGTGGTGCTATCTCAGCTCACTGCAGCTGATGGCTGCTGCCAGGCCATCCCTCTCCAGGGCAGGGAGGCCCTCAGCCTCATCTGTAATTGAATGCCTTTTGGGATGTTTGGATAGTCCTTTATTGCCTGAAAATTCAGAAAAAAGAAACTACAATCCTCATGCCTGTTAGTTTCCCTGGGCCAAGTGTAAAAAAGATGCCCCTGACCTCCAGATTTTAAGTGACACCCAAGGGAAGCCACCAGTGCCTTGGCCATTGAAGCCTCCTGCCTGCTCCCCAAACCCCCAGCAGTTCCCTCTGCAGTCTTCACAGTTGTGTCCTGACCCGTGCGGTAAGATGGTGAGAGAAGTGCTAAGGGATGGGATGAGGGTCTTTACTGTGTTATTAAAACGTTAAAGTTGTTTTAAAGGTGTCCAAATGCCCTCCTTGTTAAATTTAATTAGGTAATAAGATGCTTTATACAAGCAGAACCAGGTAAGGGAAAGCAAGTGCATTTCAAGTCCTAGCTCACCTCAAAATTAGCTGTAATACCCACGGCAGGCGGCCGCACCTCAAAGAGCCTGTGTCCTGTTCAAAAAAAGATGAACGAATGAGGGGCGGGGTCTGGAGCTTTACCCAATCAGGGGCGCTGGGGTGGAAATCGTCCAATCAGGAGCAGCCGGAGAGCAGGGGCGGCTTCCGGGATTTGGCTGGGGCCTTTGTTGGCTGCAGTCGGAGCTCGGGTCGCCTCACCCTGGTTCCGAGTCCTCGGATCCAAGAGACCCAGGCAGCTTCGCGGTCTGAGAATAAACAGAGCCTTTGTTGCTCTGTGAGCTGCAGGCACGTGGAGATCCGTAGCTAAGACGCCAGGACATCCCGGAAACTGGGAAATGGTGACTGTGCCGCGTCGGGTATCCGCAGAGGAGGGAGCGGGGAGGTCGGAAGCGGCGGAAACCCGCTGCGGGGGCACCGGGCCTCCCCGCGGTCAGCTCGAGTCCCCGCGCGCGCGTCTCGGCCCTCGGTCCCCTCCGCCGCACGATGGCTACTGGGCCGGCAGCCGGGACCCCGAGCGTCCTGTCCTAAACCCCCGGGGCGACCCCGGCCCTGGCCGGAGCGGTCTCTGGGCAGCTCCACGCTGCAGCCCCGCGTCTCCCCAGATTGTGCCGTGAGGACTGGAGGGTTTTAGAGGAGACCCCGGTGCGGTTGTGATTCGTGTGTGGGAAGGAACTGTGCCCCGTGGGGTCCCTAGTCGCTCCTTTTTCCTTTTACAAATTATAGAGGGTCATCCTTGAGGCGTTAAAGGGTGTTTTTGGGCAAACAGCGATTGGTGAAATGGGAAGCCTCCTGCCGTGGTTTGTGGTTTAGGGTCCTCTGTAGCAGGGATTTCAAAATCCCAGGGCTTAAATTTTGAATGCTGCCAGGGAAAAGAAATAGGGACAATCTCTCTTCCACTATGGCTGTAGAAAACGAATGCATTTCCACAGAAAGTGTGCTAGATTAATTGGTCAGTTACAAACATTCATTAAAACGGTCCTCTCTTTTGCAGAGTGGAGGAATTGTGACAGCCGATACCTATGTTCCATATTCTGCAGCTATCTGGATGTCCGAGTTTAATGCCAAATTTTGTGAGACAGGACTTGGCACCCCCTATAAGTGTTCACGTATACTAAATGATCTGCTGTTATGGAAGTAAATGACATGTTTATTGTCTGAAAGAGGTATTTCGGCTTTTCCTGTTGAGGCATAAAGTGTAAGTGCCGTACAGTTTCCTTCCTTTCCATAGAAACTGTGTTTGAGTGATTTTCCTATTTTCCTGAAACCTGTTAGGTCATTGAACATCTGACTGCTGGGCACCTGCCCTGTCCCTTCAGTTGAGGTGGGATTGGCAGCACTCCCCAGAAGGTGTGCAGTGCCCGGAAAGCGTAGGAGGGCCTGACGTTTGCTGTCCTGGGGTAGGTTTTAGAGCTCACTAGATACTTGAGGAGGGCTAATGAGATGGGAAGAAGGCAGCCCACCTCGATGGACCCGAGGGACAGAGCCTGCGAAGGGAGAAGCGCGTGCGTGGAATAACCCTGACTGGGAAGCAGAAGACCTCAGTCTTTGAGCCTGCAAAAGGAGGTCACTGAAGGCCCAGTTAGTTCCTCCTAGGGAGCGTCCCCTTCAGGTGTCCCTGAGGTTCACAGCAGCCATGGAGGGAGCCCTTTGTACTGGGAGAAGCTGCAGAGTTCTGGAAAGCGGGGGATTTGCAGGCGGATGTGGTTGAGGATGGACTGGAAGGGAGGTTGGGAGGCTCTTTCTGAGGGTGGAATTGTTAGTGTCCTGGGGCTGTTTCTTGGCTTTGTCAAATAAAGCATCTGGATTTAGGTAAGAAGTTCCTTAATTCTAAAGGAGTATTGCACGAGGAGGAAAGCACCGACTGTAAGATTTTTGTGGATCTCACAGTTTAGGCAGAAAAGGCCTTTCTTTCATAGGGAGGAGCAAACATGACTAAAGTTGGGAGGGGAAGGGCACAACTCTGGGGCAAAATCAGATCCCAGATCAGAGAATGTTTCACCCTAAGTCAGCCTGTTCTTAGGAGGGCCATAAAGAGGGGTTGACTGTTGGCTCAGGCTGTGGGTGGGACAAAGTTCAGGGACCTGGAGGAGAGAAACTTAAGCAAGTTTGGTTAATACATATTTTATTCTGATCACCAAAGACAAAACTCTTTAATTGCTTATGGGAGGGGGGGAAAGGAAATAGGAGAGTCTGTGGCTTTGTGATACCTAAACAGGGAACATCATTTAAGTCATAAAGGAAAGAGTGATTCTTTGCAGGAAGCTGTTCATGGAGAACACAAAGGAAGGGGGATTTCTTTCATCACAGCTGCTTACCAGGGTTAACTGTCCACCCCGTCTTTCCCCATTGCTTTCTCTTGCCCATACATCTCTTCCATTTGGCTGAGTTGTATCTTTTATAATAAACTGGCCAATGCAATTACAGTCTGAGTTCTGTGAATCCTTGTATAAAATGAATGAACTTGAGTAGGAGATTATGGGAGGCCCCAATTTATAGGCAGTAGCTCTGAAGTATAGATGGACCCTGGGGATTGTGACTGGCATCTGTAGTGGAGGCAGTGTCGTAGCACTGAACTCTGACCTTGTGGGGTCTGTGCTGCCTCTGGGGCGTGTCAGAATTGATTTGGACAAACAGTTGGTGTTCGGGTATTGGCTGGTGTTCAGCAAACTCCACACATTTAGTGTCAGAAAAAAGACAACACAGGGACCCACGCTGGAGAGAGACTCTGGGTGTCTCCAGAAGGGAGGCTCTATTCCCCTGCACACAGGCTGTCACCCTACACAGAGTCCTGTGATTCCATGACTCCTCCCAGGGAGAGGCAACTGAGGACAGAAAGGAAAGAAGTTCTGAGAACAGAGCCCTGCCCCCACTGTGCTGCCACCCCATAATTCCAACCACTCCTGAACATACCCACTAGGCACTGACATGGCCACACTCCTTCCAGGACAAGACATGACCCTCAGGAATTGTGCCCATAGCACCTTTTCTCCTAGAGTTTCCTGCCCAAATTCCCACACAAGTGCCTAGAGCACTCCTGGCTTATCCTTGCTCCCAGACCCTGAAACTGGAGGAGCAACCCACACCCAGTCCCTCTATCCGAGGCTTGTGGACCACCCAGTCATCATCTTGCCTGCCTGCATGGACACAGGAGTAAGTCAGAGCATAGCGCCACCTGGGCCAGTATCTGTAGCACAAACCAGTCCTTCCACCAATTCTGCACTGCCTGCCATGCGTGAGTTCTTAGTAGCACCTTCCCTTCTGCCTTTTACTTCCTTACAAACCCTGACAGGGTCTTGCTCTGTCACCCAGGCTGGAGTGCAGTGGCATGACCATGCAGCCTTGAGTCCTCCCACCTCAGCCTCCTGAATTGCTGGGACTACAGGCGTGTGTTCCCACACCTGGCTAATTTTTGTAGACACTAGGGTCTCACTATGTTGCCCAGGCTCATCACGAACTCCTGGGCTCAAGTGATCCACCCGCCTCTGCCTCCCAAAGGGCTGGGATTACAGGCGTGAGCCACCATATCTGGCCCACAAACCCCTTTTTAGGTGCACACAGTGTGTCCAAGGCCAACCCTCAGGTGCCTGAATCCAGCGCCTGCTGGAATTCACATGTCCATGAATTCAAGATTATGCTCCTAGATCTCACAATTGTGAGAACAAATACAAATTAGAAATACGAGATTAACCCTTTTTGAAAATAAGGGAAGACATGTTTCTCTCCTTCCTTTTCTTGAAGCATTTACTTTAGAAAATTTTTTTATGTAAGTTTTGGAAATACTTCTAAATCATTCTAACAGCTAAACAGACCTTTTGTCTTTTGTCGGCCTTTTTTGTTTTTTTGAGTCTTGCTGTGTTGCCCAGCCTGGAGTGTAGTGGTATCATCTCGGCTCACTGCAACCTCCACCTTCCAGGTTCAAGCGGTTCTCCTGCCTCAGCCTCCCAGGTACCTGGGCTTATAGGTGCCAGCCACCATGCCGGGCTAAGTTTTGTATTTTTAGCAGACAGGAAGTCACCATGTTGTTCAGGCTGGTCTCAAACTCCTGACCCTGGGTGATATGGCCGCCTTGGCCTCCCAAAGTGCTGGGATTACAGGGTGAGCCACTGTGCCAGGCCGCCAAACTGTTTGATGCAGGACATTCTTTCTCTAGGAACTGGGAATCATTGATTTGGGATGTAAGCAGCAAAGCAGGTAGAGCCATATCTCGCAGTGCTCTAGGAGAGCAGGCATCTACCATCAGGTTCTTGCTCCAGGTGCAAGTCTACCTGTCATGAAGACATGAAGTTGGTTTTTCCTTTGAATATAGCCAATTAAACAATGGCCTCCCAATTCTGACAAATGGTGCTGCCAGGTCTTCCACTTGTGTACTAATTATAGTGAATTTTCATGAGTGGGTGTTTTTCAATCTCTTAGCAGATTGCCTGTAATGTCTTTCACATTCTGCTCTGATTGTGTCATAAAACAGTTTTCTTTTTTTCTACCATTGTGGATAGTTTTCCTAGTGATTCTGTATTTAATTATATTTCCTCAAACATTATGAAACGTAAGATGCCTACCAGGCATCAAGCTAGAGGGGCCTTTCCTTGTAAGACTTCCAGTCACAACCAGAGTTGTGCAGCAAACTGTCCATTGTCCCCGACATCTGCAGACAGAATGGTCTCTCTGCTTGTTTGGAATCTTTAATTCTTTCTACAACGATTTGGACAGATTTCTACAAAAATATTTCACAGGGCATCATTTAGCTATTCCAGCTGTGTCTCTCCATGCCTCTGGCCTCTTCAGTCTTGAAACTGATTCAGAGACCATGGGCCCTGGAATCCAACCAGGCACACACATGCATTGAGTAGACCTGAGAATTTCAACATTCCCCTCATCCTCTTGCCCACGAACATGCAGAGGGTGCCTGCCACTTCCCTGACCCTCCAACACCTGGATCTGCAGCTCCAAATATTGGACCCAGGTCCTGGGGTTCTCCAGGATGTGTGAGAGGAGCTTTCCTGAGGGGCTGTCTCCTCTAGTTTTCCTCTCTTCACAGCAACACCCAAGAATGCAGAGCCAGGTTGATTCCACCTAGAGTCTGCACATAAAGGCTGGTCTCCATCTGGGATTCTCAAGACAGGGTCAGACTCTGGACCGAGGATGTATAGAAAATCCAGGGGACATTTTCTGCATTATGAGAGATTGCCGTAGACCTTGTAAAGTCCTACATTTTGTGTGGGTTCCTTCAAGTTATCCAGACCTTGTCCAGTGAGCTGCTGCAGTTCTTGTGAGGGCCTTCTGGTCTAAGCAGAATCTGTGGCAGAATCTGTGAGTGTAAAGCAACGCCTTAGCAGAGGGAGGGCAGGGCCACAACTGTCCAGAGCCATGAGTGAAGCCACACCTTCCTGTGAGCTGTGTTACTGGAGTAGGGTCATCTTGTCCTCTCTTGTACCCAAGAGTTACCTGTTCAGGTATAGGTAATATTACACCTGGATCCAGGATCTGTGGCTCCACTGGGGCAGTCCTACTTTCTATCCTGGCCTCACAGAGTCAGCTGAGTCTCTCCTGCCCAAATCACTATTGGGGCATCAGCATGGGATCACCAGGGACTCTCTCACCAGCACCTGGGAATCCTTGAGACATTTGGTGATGTTCTGTGCAGGCTGAGGTCAGGCTGACCACAGGATCTAATCTTCCCATCTCAGAGGGAAAGGAATGAGTCATCCAGGATTTGTCCCTCCACTCACAGAAGGAATCTCTTTATTTGGTATCCAAATGGGCTTTGCTCCAGTTTTCTAATATGTGGGTGAAGAACAGAGAGGAGGTCTGGAGACTCAGACTGACAGGTAAACCAGTTGCTTCCATTTCATGTGTCCATTGGAAAAACAGATGCAGCATAGTCCCTACCATCCAGGAACTTTCAGTCTAGAGCAGAAGGATAATGGCCAAATTCAGCATCATGTGGTCAGGAGCAAGAACAGACGTGTACAGGGAACCTAGGCTTGATTTGGGACATTGCCCTTATGTTCACATTGTGAGTTCTGATGTCACCACCTGAAGGGCGACCCATGGACAGAAGAGTAGTTATTATTATTTCTATTGATTTTCTCTTGATTTGGTTTTTAATATGATTTTCCCAGAAAGCCCTACATGTTTTGATTAAATTTCTTGTTTGTGGATTTACAAAATAGTTAAGAATGAAACAAAATCAGAAAAACTCTGGGAGTCAAGTTCTTGTGGTCAGGCTTAGGAAAGACAGGACTGAAAATAAACCAGCAACATAGAAATGGGAAGCCTACGGCCTGCCCCCTGCCTCTAGCCTTGATGTGTCCCAGCCCTGCCCAAATCCATCCTCTTCTGAGCTTGGTTCAGTTCTGGTCCCACCTTGGAGCCTACGCTCACAGAACTGTTTGCTGGAGATCAGACTTCTGAGCGGTTCGTCTTGCTGGTTCTCCAGAGCTGGTGCTCACACTTTCCCCAAACCACAAAGCAGATAAATGGGAACAAAGGACAATATGAGGTCTGAATTTTTTTCTTCATTGAAATGAGTGCTTCTGGAGACATCCCACCAGGCAACATTTTTTCCATTCCTGCAAATCCAGTAGTTGCTCCACAAGTTGTAACAAAGTCAACTAAAGACAGCAGTGAGAAATCCTCATGAACTAAACTTCACCCTTCCTTTCCGTATCCCTCCCATATGTCTATAGTTAGCTTTTATAGTGACAGGGAAACAGAAGACATGGAAAGTCTGGGACATGATTTAAACCCTGCTGGGAATTATGGGATACTCAGGACCCACATCCCAGGGATTTATGTGGCTTAACTCACACCATGGGATATTCCCAGCACAGTACATACCATGAGCACACAGTATAAGCTCAGTAAACACTGCATTAGTGCATGTATCCATGCTATTTTCCAAATGCTGACTTAGACGTTAGTGTCTCCTCCAGCCTTCTGTAGACTTTAAATGGCTGGCAAAGGATGTGATTTTTCAGGACAGTAGTTGGTGGTCCTCGCTGTGAATGAAAAGTGTTTGTGTTGTGATTAAGAGTATTGCTTGTAAGGGACTCTGTGTGCTGTGCTCACTTCCTCTAGCTGAGTGCTACTAATAATGGGTCTTAAGCCAGTTCATGAAACCTTTCCAAACCTGCAAAATCACACAACTTAGCACGGGCCCCAGAATACCAAATGATGTGTATGCATATGAAGCTTGAGAGACAATGCTTAG